CTCCGCACCCGTCGCTTTAGCGAGCCTACTTTTCGACCCTCCGGGGCCACAAATCATTGGAAAAACACAGTGAATCGCGCCTTTCCTACCTTTTCGCGCATCTTACTCTCTTATCTCTTCTAATCTTTCTCTTCTCTCTGCCTCTTCCCTACTCTGCTTTTCATCTGTCCATATTGTCGGAAGTTTGACTTCTAAACTTCGATAAACTGTATATGTTTTGTATATTTTTATCATTTTGGGGGAAGGGCGGGGTGAAGCAACCGCATCAGGATACAATCTGCCGCGAGGGGAGAGCTGGTGCCCAGCATCACAAGAGCCGCTTGCACACACAGATGGTATTGATTTTGATTTTCCGTGTTTTGTTTGTTTCTGGCTGCATGTATTGACCATGGGATTGATGTTCAATCTGTTTGATCCCTTTGGCGCACATGGGGAGGATTTGGTAGAAAGGCACAGAAATGAACAAAAGGTGCGCTACCGCTAGTGGAAGAAAAGTCACAATCTCCGAGAAAAACCTGCGGATTGGATCAGATTGGATCAGATTGGGGGTTCTCAATCTTGATTCTCCCATCAAGCTGTGCCCAGAATGAGGTCTGAAATCCCAGGCCCAGATGACCACGATGAGTGGGGTCAAGCTCCATGTGCAGATTTATCAGACCTGGAGAATGCATGGCAGCAAAGCAGCTGAATCTTCAAAACGGTCTAGGCACACCGTGAGTTCAGGCGATGTTCCACATTTTCGCGGCAAATGTTGTTGCTTCCAGCTCAACACTTCTTTGACTTCCACGTGGCCTGAGTTGATCTATGCTACCAGCTACCAGCTGCAATCGCTGGGTCAAGACCGTGCTGAAAGGTGGGGCGAGAGAAGACGAAGCATCGAGTCGTGGAAATTGACTGTTTTTCTCAGATAACTAAAACAGTTTCAGTGGTATGAGACCAAAATCCGTGTCTCAATCCAGGTGTAAATGCCAGAAAATCCAGAAGCAACGTATCATGGGAGCTGCCAGTTCGTCGTTTGAGCCGGCAGTTTGTCATTTGAGCCGGCTTGTTCCACGCATGTGACGACCATTTGCTCGAGACGGACAAAAGTCAGCCGTTTGCCGCTTGCCAGTTCTTGTAGGACGAGGGTTCTAAACATGGTTCAACAAACCCCTGAAATGTCATATGGAAATGCTGGAAGCACAATGTCGAGGGCAACCTTTTGAACGTTTTGTATTGTTTTGTACGCATTGCTATATACTTTAGCCATTTTGAGCTTATCAATGCAGATTTGGCTGTGCATAGCAAACTCCTGGATCTTTGTCAAGACAATCCCAGGGCGACCCATGATGCCTCGAGCCGAGCACAGCCTCATACGCTCACACTGAGGCTACGAAGGCTGAGTTTCAGCATGCTGCCAGGATGCCACTTTTCAGCTTTGAGTCGCGCCGGTGGACATGTTTGAAACATGTTCTGGCGAGACAGCCTACAGGAATGAAGAGTTGAGGAGGTGTTTCAGTTGTGGGAGCACCTTTGCCTTTTAGCATATAAACCGACCCATTGTAAACTTAAAATAGGGATAAATATAGGGATATACCCAATTTTTGACCCGTGCCCATTGTATGGGCTGCAACACTTGTTCTTCCACTTTATCTTTAGTTTCCACTTCGAACCGGCCTCGGCTTTTCGTTGCATTTGCTGAATTAAGATGACAGCAGGGCTGCTGTTTTTCCATCGCAAGTCCTCAGCTCGCACACCATGTTGGGGTCTTGCGTTGCCCACGATACAATCACAGTGCCCATTGGCACCGTGTTTTTCACCTGCGTCGGAGAGCGAGCGCCAGCGGTCGACCAGGAAAATAACTACAAACTGTGCCGATCTTGATGTTATGCCATGTTATGCCATAGTTATATGCATAGATTCATAGATTTGCCATGATTCATGATGTGTCATGATGTTCCTCTATGGAGGGTGTAGAGGATGCAATTGAAGAGACATGATTGATTTGCTACCCAAAATATCCCAAGTCACACAATAGCTCAAGATTGGTGTTAATCTACAGTACCATGTTTGCTTGTGAAACAGTCTTCAGCCCCTGCATCCAACATTCCAAGCAGAGCCAATGATCTCATTCGTCAGAGGTGCTCGCATTGTGCTCAAGGGTCAAGAGGCCACATGCAGAAGTGCCCGTAGCGGATTTCCCAATCAAAGAACAAGACAATATATGGCCGCTTCCGACGTGGAGAACGGGCCTACGTTGGTCACCAATGCCTCGGACGATGAGAAGAGCCTGGTGAAGAGCCAAAGGAAATGGGACTCGGGCGACCGCGTTTCGCAACTCGAAGATGTTTTGTTTGTTGATTTTTTTTGTGGAGGATGGTGGAGGTATTCTGTATACTGGGGGCAGTTCAGATCAAAGTTCACACAGGTATACTGGATACTGTATACTGTACAATGTAAACCTGGATGAATAGATCCATATAGATCCCTAGGCTGTTGATCGTTGGGATGCAAGTTGAGTAGCAAGCCATCAATATTTGGGGGTGGTAAACGCTAACCAGGGGAGCAGGGGTTATTAATCCGGGGGTGACATGATGTGATTCCGAAAGATGATGTGATAGGTCCATATTGACAGTGGTGGCTGAGGTACGGCGCCCACATCTTCTGGATGAGCAAGGACCGAATGAAATAAATTTACAGTAGCTGTTGAGAGAGGGTGAGGGCAAGAGATTACACATTGCAGAGGCGATACAGCTGCTCACAGGGAATTTGCGTGTGGATTCATGAATTTTCTGGGATGCAGTATCTAGCAGTCACACCAGGCGATTGATAAACAACCTTGAGTCTTATCCATGCAATCCACTGATTTCGGGTCAAATTGAAGAGTTGTGTTGCAATCCTCACGCCCGCTTGCATCCTTTGCATTGGTGAACCATGGTGAGCCCAGCGATGTTGAAGGGTATGAACACGGAGGTCTATGGCGAGGGCCATCCCTTTGGCGACCCTGCGTGGTATCAGGCGTACAACACGCCCTACTACAATGACACCCACAAGCAGTTCCGCAAGCTGATGCGTGAGTATGTGGATGAGCACATCATGGGCAATGTACATGACTGGGATGAGAAGGGCACCATCCCAAAGGAGATGTACTTGGAGGCTGGAAAGCAAGGCACATTGGCCCTGTGCATTGGCAGGCCATGGCCTGAGAAGTACTTTGGCCCATCTCCTTGGGGATTTGAGCCTGACTACTTCCATGAGCTCATCATGTATGACGAGATGTCACGCACCGGTTCCGTTGGCTTCCAGTGGGGTGTCGCCGGAGGCACTACCATTGGACTGCCGCCAGTGTATCATCATGGCAGTAATCTGGATTTGCTGAAGATCATTATTTTTTCATATTTTTCAATGTGTATTCCCATTGATAAGTTTCTCCACCATTGGGTCCATTTGGGGAATCTACTGGGAACATGTGTTACTGTTATTTGTTTATGGCCCCCCGGCCACAGCTGCAAGGTGAAGAGTTGAAGGCACGCGTCATGCCGCCCTGTGTGAAGGGAGAGAAGGTGGCTTGCCTGGCCATCACCGAACCTACGGCAGGCAGCGATGTGGCCAACCTGAAGTGCAGCGCAAAGTTGGAGGGGGACTTCTACATCCTGAATCCTGGACTCGCTGACGATTCTTTTGTGTTGGTAAAGCAATAATAAACCACCCCAATGACCATGAATATCCATGAATGCATGAACCATCAAAATATGGGTGGTTTTTTCTTGCTTTGCCAACATTAACCCATTAACATTTTTATGTCTTTTTTGTTCTCATTTGTTCTCCAATTTTTGGATTCACCGTTGGGGGAATCTATCATGGGGGAATATATGCTTTTTCTGCACCCCCCTCTGGTACAAATCCCAGGAATGGAGAGAAGAAGTGGATCACCAACGGCATCTTTGCCGACTTCTTTACCGTGGCATGCCGCACTGGGAAACCAGGCGTGGGTGGCATCAGTTTGTTATTGGTAGAGAAGGGTATGGAAGGTGTGGAGTGCAGGAAGATGAAATGCAGCGGCGCATGGTCCTCCGGCACCACCTACATCACCTTTGATGATGTCAAGGTGCCAAAAGGCAGCTCGCTAGTGATTCATAGATATGTTGAAATATATATATATAATTATATATATATATTTATTTATTTAATGAAATATAGAATTTTATGGGTGTTTCTTTCTAATTTTCCATCATGTTCAATCCCGATTCTGCGAAGGTAAAAAACAGCACAAAGGAATACAAGGGATGCCGTGATATGTCTTGATATGCCTTGGGTATCTCAGGCAATTTGCTGGGAAAAGAGGGCAAGGGCTTCCAGTACATGATGCAGAACTTCAACCACGAGCGATTCGCCTTCTGCGCCATGAGCACCCGCTTCGCCCGTGTTTGCCTGGAAGAGTCCCTGAAGTTTGCGGGAAAGCGCAAGACCTTTGGAAAGACCCTGATCCAACACCCAGTGATTCGTTGGAAGGTGGCCGAGATGGCGCGTATGGTGGAGGCAACCCACAACTGGTTGGAATGGATTACCTTCCAGTTGAAGACCATGCCCAAGCTTGAGGCCATGTTGAAGTGCCTAGGCACTTGATTCATAGACATAGTGAACATGGTATATAACTTCACGGTACCATGTCAAGATTTGACATCCCACACTGTTTCTTTGCCCTTGCTTGTGGTTATTTGGGTTCCGGGTTCCGTCATGCCATTGACATCCATTGACACTCGCAGCAGATTGTAAGACTAATATGATCTCTAACACAGCGCTGGGCATGTCTGGGCATTAAAAGCTCACCGAGGTAAACACACATTCAGACAGCAAGTCCTTCCTTATTATAGTGCGGCTAACCATAATAATTGACCAAATTTCAGGACCACGTCTTTTCCTTCAAATGCCTTTGTTCTTCCATGTTCTTCCTCCACTTCGCTGTTTGATCTGGCGCTGAGGCTGGGAGGACACACAGCTCTTTGCAAGGTGCAGTGCACCAAGGTCATGGAGTACTGCGCACGCGAGGCGGCTCAGATCTTCGGTGGTTTGTCCTACAGTCGTGGTGGCCAAGGAGAGAAGGTGGAACGCCTGAACCGCGAGGTGCGGGCCATGGCCATCCCTGGAGGTTCTGAGGAAATCATGTTGGACCTGGGAGTGAAGCAATCCACCAAGCTCGCACAGATGGCTAAGATGTTTGCCGAGGCTGCGCCTGCCGCTCAGCCTGCCAAGTTGTGAGTGCACCATGTTGGTGTGCAGCAAGCAGAACACAGCCCGCCACAGATTTTTGAAGTTTCGGCTGTACGTCCTAGCCACTGAATCTGAGAGCGGCCATTTCAGAGGGAACCTTCTTTAGAACAAGGCGCCTTTGAAAGATGTTTCGAAACAGTTTCGGGCCTAGATAAGGTCCAAAATGCTTTTGCGACGCGTGCCTCCTGCAGCATGCGCCATTTGAAAAAGATTTTTGTGGGTTGGGGCTGCCCTGGGGTTGTGACCATACTACATTTTTCCACGTTCCACTATTTTCCACCGTGGATTTGTGAGGAGTTTGGATGGGTTTTGCTCATCCCCGAGATCTGCTTGCCATGTGGAGCCCTCGCAGCCGTCATGATAGCCTATGGCGTCATTGTCCATTGTTACCGACGCCCTTTGGTTCCTTGGACTCAGCTGGAAGGATGGAATCCTGTGGAAGGCTGCCTTGTGATTCCATGACTTGCTTGAGTATCATGATGTATCATTTGTTGCTTTTCAATGGCAGCTGCTTTGATTCTACGTATCCATCTTGATGTAGGCATCCCAAAAAAATCTGACACTGAAGCCACGGAAATGGTATTGATTGGTATCTGAGGGTATGTGTTGGAAATCCCTGAAATTGTCAGATGCTGTGACTGTTTGTGAACCAGGCCTGTCTCCTGCCAAAGCGATTCTGAGGAGGAGGTTGTTATCGAAATTGTGATGTGCATTTGGCTGTGGAACAACGTGCTGTGGATGGCAAGATTCTCGATACACAAGGGAGGAAAAGGGTTCGTGGTTCCATGGCAGGTTGAAAAGTAGATGGTGGGAACATGTGGATCTCATCGTTTATCAT